ACAACTCACGGGACATATGTTACTGTACTGGTATGACAATTGGATACCAGTGTCTAGTAATGACAATCCCAATAATAACCACCCGCTTTTATATTAGGCGACAATAACTTTGCGATCGCGCCATCAATCGAGTTTTTGACTACGATGATTTTGCAATTGCGTCGTCATCCCGGCTTACGGGTATAGAACTGCATTATATAATACTTTTATTTTTGCGAAAAATATTCCAAATGCATGTCGTGTGATGTGTAAAAATACCATATAGGTACGAAGCGATATAACGATATAATTAATAATCGAATACCTTCTGAACCAACTGAAGAGTGGCGTCATATTATTGAATCGGCTAACAAGACTTGCGTAGCGTGGCCCCCTTCGAGACATGTATATATTTGCGGAGCAAAGCCGCTTTTGCGAAGCAGGGCGCTCTGCGCCACGAAGCCTCCTGGTAGTGCTGAAACTTTTACCAAGTTAGACACAAAATCAGAGGCTTTGCTTCACGAATATGAAAGAACTAATACGGACTCGCAGATTGAGAGTGCTTCCAAATGTCGCTCACTTATTCCATTTTTAATTCCTCCGCCACTGAAACGAGGATGCGCTTGGCTCTAAACACAACAAAAAAAATAGTAGACCCAATGAATATTATATCTTAGGTAAAAATTGTGCCTTGGTTAGTATTTTGGCAGTACCGCTGAAAATCAATATTCGAAAGAGAAATTGCACGGAGTGCACGCTTTGCGTGATAAAACAAGTAAATTTGTCCGTGAGTCGAAGACTCCTCCCTACGGGAGTTAATCCATTATTTTTTTAGCAATAATTTTTCAATGGGTTTTTGTGGGGCAATAAATTTCCGTGGGGTTTTTGTGGGGCAATAAATTTCCGTGGGGTTTTTGTGGGGCAATAATTTCTGTGTTGTACGGTGAAAAAATTGTGCATGGCTTTTTTCGTAAAAAGTGTTGTCTGAGATTAGATAGATACCGAAATTTTTTATCACAATATTCACAGGTTCTATCAGGCCTGTCATTTCTTTTAAGTTGAACGGTGTTCAAACTCACTTTTTTTATTGGGAGTTGGGCTAAAATGAGTATTATTTCTGGTGTAAATTCTTAGGCACCACATAATGACGAGATTATGTTTACATCGTCAGGTGAAAAATATCCGCTCCGCGGCCGCCTTTTTTACCATAAATGACGACGCAAATGTAAACTTGTCGTCACTCGAAGTGACGATGCAAATGCAATCTGTGCCAGAATCCCCATATTTTCTTTTTTATCAACAAATGACGATGTAAATGCATTATTGTCGTCACTTAACATTTTACCAGATTAGCTGTATTGGAGGTGTAATTTACTCTATTTACATGCCGATGTAGACACAATATTGTCGTCAATTTTACCTCCAATTGTGGAAATTAAGCTCCAACTCGAGGTGTAATTTGGTGTGTCCACTATCCCTGCTGCTAGGCTGGATTTTTCTTTTGTGGCACAGCTATATTTTGTAAGCAAAATTAAAAAGGAGTGGATATCATTATTTCAGTTGCTATGGTTTAAGATAATGAAACTCCAATCACAGAGAAGAATGTGATGGTATCCAAGTCAGGAATCGTGAAGCTGATGGTCCAACTGGTGATGAAGATCAGCAAGAAGGGAGCAAGCAATCATTTAAACGACAGAAGATGGATAATATATTCAAACAAACAGCTTGCTATATTGGCATTGATAACTGCAAACCCTTCTCTCTACCCTATCTTGGGATTTACATGAGTCTTGGAGTGGCATCTGAAGGTATTGAATACAATAGCACTTTACACCCCCCTGCCAAAATTATAAGTGCAAGCGACGATCGTCTTCATAGCCGCAACACTTCAAATTTAGTTTACTCAGAAATCCACATAATAAAAATCAGTTTAATTTACATCATTCGACTCGCCAAGACATGCTCTTTTTAATGGTATAAATGGCAAAGTGTGTTTTGCAGAATTTATACGTACAATGTAAGAATTAC